CATTACTTGTAGTTCTAGTGAGCATTATTAACTCCAACATGGTAGATAAACGAGTCTCTGCAGACTCTCAGAAGTGGCGAAGCAACTTAAATTGACACAAGAACAGATAATAGACGTATGTGAATCGTTACGAGGCAGAAAGTAAACAGCATCGCATATATGTTGAAATTAAGACTGATTTTACTGCAATTTTAATTTAAGTTTGGGCTAAGGCTTTTACATCCTCCTTCATTGTTTTTTTTTTTTTTGCAAGAACAATCTAACAAAGCTTACGGTGGTTGCCTCTCTACCTCGAGAGTAAAGTACAGTTTGGAAGAAATTAAAAAAAAAAGAAGAAAAACTTCAATTGTAAGTGATAGATCTGTTGGGATTTCTACATCCAAGTGAATAGGGCTGGTTAAGTAGCAACAACCTCTTGGGGGTTGCCATTATTATTGTCCAATTGTCCAATATATGAATGTGTCCGGCCGACAAGTCCCCACAATCGCCTCTATTTACTATTTACTATACTATGAAGACTAAGAACCACTCCCTCTCATTGATAGAAGTAAGAGAGGAACAAGAAAAATGTATGATGCCGGAAAAGACACGATATGGATATAGAAAGACTTTCAACAATCAAACCCACCCACCTAACCTAATTGGTTATCACTTTTATGATGCAGGTTGATTGATTATATATAAATTTTTCTCAAATCCGAGGAACAATCATGTCTAGGAAACAATTCCTGGATGAAATCACCCGTTTAGGGTTGCAAATGTATCCAATTGAACCCATTACATGCATCTAGATCCGAGTTTGATCATTGGTTGGCATATTTAGATTTTAATCCAACATTATCCCTTGGATTTAGATTGCATTTGTTTCTGAATTCGGATTGCAGTCGGATATTGGGATAGTATTGATAAATTAAAATAAATCGATCGGAGATTGTAAATAGCTTTAATATTAATTGTTTATCATGAACCGAATGAACTGAAAGTGACAAGTATGAAACTTTTTCTTTAGATGGTCAAAAAAATTCAAAATAATTTTTAATGATAAGTAAATAAAAAATAAAAACCTTTAAATTAAAAGGAATGGAATCGGATAGGATTGACATGTCTGATGTCTCTATTAGAAGGAAATTATTCTGTTCGGTCCTACTTAGAACCATCCAGAACTGATGGATATATTTACCTACTTCATTTCCATGAAAACTATGCGTATTAATAAAAGTTGCTGGGAAGAAAATTCACTCATCAACTTTTACAGTTGGTGAACTCTATCACCGTGATGAGACGGCCTGAGCCAGCCTTGAATCTTGACAGTGCAAGCCAGTTGAGACTTGAGATGGCCCAACGCCCAATTTTGATTTCTCCGTGCAAGAGTTGTCTCGCCATTTTCTGATTTGGTTATAGGCTTCTTTTCAAAAGGAAGAAAGGAATCTCTTTCTATATAATTTTGCTGCAACCAGCCATTTGATTTACAAACAAACAAACAAACAAAGAAAAGTTGGTCTGGAAAATCATTTCCAATTTTTCAGAAGTTGTCTGATACATGGCAAATTTATAACTTTCAAAGTGTTGGGGAAATCCCTGGAAATTTTATCGGAGATTCCCCAATTTTGGTTCAACGTTTTTCCATGCATAACACAGAATGAATTCAATTTTAACTCAGTTCAAAGAGATAAATTAAACAAAAAGTATTTTGTCTTGATTTAAAAAAACTTATCTATAGGAAGAATATGCCTATCTCTATCAGGTGTCTAGCTCGAATTATGGACCATTGAACTGTTTTCGTCAATCTGTCAACTTGACACCCATGACCCATGGCTAGGTTCAAATAGCAGAATCCAAAGGATAATGTTGTTGTTGATAGTCTTGTTAGTGTCAGCAGCCATCAAGCCAGAGCGTTTGTAGGCTCTGCTCTTGCAACCCAATCGAATATGTCTATATCCCAAATTTGAATTGTTAATATTCGGAATTTCGGATGATAGATGGTTTTAAATTGAAGCTTATCCCTTGGAGGGCTTCTAAAAACAAAAAGCTTATCCCTTGCATTCAAATTGGGCTCTGATTGATAATAAATTGAACAGAAATATCAAAATATTATGTAGTAGAAAAGACATTGATATTGTATCCTAGGCTGGGCTAGGTACATTGGAGGGTGCTAATATGGCAGAGACAGAAATGGGTCCACTTGGCTATAGGCAGAAGATAACTACCGGAAAACATTGCATGTCATAAGCACATGATATGCAAAGTTGCCACCTGGACTGGAAAAACGGTAGATCACCTCATACTCCATATCAGAATTCAGAAATCAGAATCCCTTTCCTTAATCCAAGCCAAATCTTATCGTTAAGGTTTAAGGTGCCGTTCATTTTTCCCTAAATTACTTATCCTAGCTAAATGTACCTACGCTAAGGAGTACAAATACAAATATTTACAGTATAAATACATACTCTAGATATTTGTATTTGTACTTCTTCCAAACTGAGCTTAATAGAAAATATTTGTCCAAGTAAATATGAGATCACTTTGGCTGTTTGGTAAAAACAGTTTGGGCTGTTTTGGGAGCCTCTGTACCTAACACCTTGAGGGCTTAACTAATTTGGGTCCTCATTCGTCTTTTCAATTAAAAGAATGTTGAGTGCAAATACTGTTTTACCCACACTCATGATTAGATGTCATTCACAGAAGGCTAGCAAAACTGCCCAGCTCCAGCTTTTTGGATGAGTGAGAACGTTTGCCAGATAAACAAGATAATAACCATTTTAGTCATAAAAATTCATTATATTAGAAGGGACATTTTTGTCCTATCAAAGTGTAGACAACTTTTCCCCATACAGAAAAGCTATTTACCTACCTGGGAAATGGGTATCACTTACCCAGAAAAATAAATTTTCTTGGTGAATGAGATTCACAATCCCAAGAAGATAGATTTCCCCCTCTGAAAATCCAAAATGCGAATGCCTCCTAAGAGTATTAATGTCAAGCTTCCTCAATCTTCAATTTGAGTACTAGCATGTCTCACCACCAGGCTCAGCTGCCCCTTTTCCCTTTAGTTTTCTTGATAGCTCGGAATATATTAGAACTGGGAATGGGGCGATGGATTTCAAAAAGTTTGGACCGGAGAGAGAGAGTAAAAAATTGATGATGAGAAAGACTATCCTGATAAATACACACAACACCCATGAAAGTGGCCTCTGGTTCCACAGCTTTCGGGTCTGAGAGTGGCCTCTGGTTCTGACATGGTGAGTGTTAGGATAGGTGTGAAGGTGATGGGCTATTATCAGGGTATGGGGGGTTGGATTGCCACATCAGACGGCAGCTTCTCCCATCCAAGTGATTTTAGTGGGGGAGGGGGGTTGTTGAAAGCTTCAACTGAACAAAGCCTGGCCAATTGGCTGCAGCTTTTGGGCTGATACTTGATGACATGTCATGAATTAAGGCTGACAGCAATGAGGACCTTACGATCTCGGGTTGCCCGAAGTATTCAACCATTTGTTTTGTTCAGAAATCAGGATTAAAGGCTTGGAAGCCAAAAGCAGCAATTGAATGAGTGCATGAAACCAAACACCTGGGATGGGTTTGTGCTTTGCTACCTTTCGTTTCGCGGGAAGGAGACAAACACTCACCTCATTTTGGCCGTGGAATTCGGAATCGATAGAAAGCGGCGCTGCTCCTGCTCATCTCCTGGTCCCTGAGTCTGAGTGAGTACAATGTTTCACTCACTGTGACAGTCACAGTCTCAGACAACATTATTTTTCCTACACCACACACCCTGCATTCCCGGGGACCTCAGGGCTTCAGGGTGTCCATCTAATTGAGTCAGGGTCTTACTGTTTATACACACCAGTCGACAATTCATAGCTGTCCAGTAGTCTTGGCCCAGTACTAAGGTTAAAAGCAGGCTTTAGGCCCTGTAGTCTCTCTAGTCCCGCAACCATATCAGAACAGCTGTTCGTCGATGATTGGTCCTCGTCAGTGATATGCAACGTGCACATTATTTGCCACAAGGCCCAGAACAGATTTAACAAAAAAAAAAAAGGTTATAACTTATAAAGGAGTTGAAATTTTCTCTAGTCCTACTCATAATACTGGGCCAATTACAATACCACCAAGTCAGCTCAATATCCATCGGGGAACAGTTATCATGCTGCTGTGGTATATCATAATTAGCCCAGTAGTTATCCAGTTCACATAGAGGATTCAAGAGGCCACTAGGCCAGTATCCGATGGATAAAATGGATCCAGAAAAAAAGAATTAAGGGTGAACGGCAGATTTGGAGTAATAATCCGGGGGAGGGGTTTACTGTCAGTCTCAGGCAAAACTAAATTACATGAGAACTAACAAGACCAGATGGAGCATCAAAATGGAGCGCAATATAGTAGATGGTGATCACAAATGTGCAGTGGAATTTACATTCATTTCTTATTCAGGGAGGTTGCGAGACTGAAAATGCTGGAAATGAAATGCCTGATTTGTTTGCCATGCAAGTGTATCTGCACTGCAATTTCATTCACATGGTGCAAAAATAAGGGGGGGGGGGGTGCAAATTCTGATTTGTTTTTGTTTCAACTCATTCTTTAATTTGTTTATTTGCAGTGTAGATGAAGTAAAATCAAAAACCAAAGCAAAAGTGGACCGGAATTTGCATTCCTCATTTGTACTTTCATAAAAAGTTGAAAAGGTTGCCCAGCAAACCAGGATGGTCAGTCCATTAGTCCATTACAAATATCCCAAGGCCAACTCTTGTTTTTAATTCTATTAGATCTTATCCTAATGTGGAGATATTTCATCTAATATTCTGAAAATGCTTATCTTCTTTGTGTTGGAAAGTATGAAAAGTGGTGCATTCGGCTCTGTTTACAATACAAATATAAACTAGATGCAAATTTTCACCCCTTTTTTTCAATATTTGGTGAGCAACCTGAACCCGTCTGTGAAAGAGGATTTGTATCCCCTACCAGGGTTTTGAATTTACGTGTTAGCTTTATTTGCACTAATTGAATTAATCTCATTCTTGCCTCATCTGCGATTGGTTTAATTATCTACCTCCACTGGAGAAAATTCACCTCCATCTGCTTTAGGATACAACAAGAGACTACTTATTTCAAAATAATTGATGTTTACAGATGGAGGGGAAGGAAGGGTGAAATACAGATTCTTTTTTATTTCCCCTATTTTTATTCTATTTCCTAATACTTATTGTTTTTCATATTATTTCCTAATAAAAGAAATTCCTTTAGCAATGCTTGCTGCCAACTCTTTCTTTGCCTTCTCCAAACCCATCCTGTTTGAACAAATAAAAAACTTAATGTTAAACACGTTCATAACAGCAAAAATATCAAAGCATGGGTACATTTTCAGCAGTTGTAATGGCAAACCTCTCGTATTCATTCAGGGGACCCAGTGGATAGATTTCCTCTACTCCAGTACGGCCAAGTCGTACCTTGGATGCAAAAAAGGGGAGCTCGATCACCTATAACATAAGGCAGAATAGAATGAGAAAGGCAGCATTTTGTTTTGTCTTGTTTTTTTTTTTATTGCTTATAAAACGTCCTGTATGTAGGTACATTTAAAAATGGAAATAGTAAATAGTCAAAATGAGATGAATCATTAACAATTACCTCAGAAGCCACAAAAGCACACTCAACAATTCCAGCATCTCCTTTCAAGCCCCGCAGGCATGCATCTGCAAATTTAGCAGCAGAATATGCCTGCAATTGATTTTAGTGTATGAGAAGAGTGAAGACTTAAGTACTTGCAGAGTTCATGTGGGAATGATGGAAAGAAATGGATGGAAAGGTTGAACGAATCAAAATTACTAACCATAGAGAGAGTTGCAGATCCAGCCCCAGCTTTAGCCTGCAAGGGATGTGAATAACTTCAATTCAACTGTCTTTTAGGCATACACAATGATAAAACTGAACACAAACATCACTTAAGTGGGAAGAAGAAAGGGTGCAATCTTCTGACTGCAACAATGAGCATAGGAAACAATGCAGTGACATCTGCTAAAAGATAACTGCAGGTAAGGAACATGGATCGGAGCATATATCCAAATAATAAACAGTCCCACAAAACTAACCACAGCTACCAACTTAGGGTTGCAAACAACTGGACCAAATTGGATGCCAGATCCATATTTCATTTGTTAATATTCAAATTCAAATTGAATCTTATCTATCAGATTTAAATTGAACTCAGACTAGATTTGTATACTGAGTACCATTAATAAACTGAACTAAATTTTGTCAAAATGTTAAATGTTATTAATAAAATTGTTGAAGATTAATTAGTTTTATGATGTTTTTCTGAGTAGATGTTTTATGTTACTTGTTACATAGGAGGTGGGGACCACAGTAGTTATGTGAGTCCAAATTTTATTATGTTTTTTGAGTGTTATATATGCTGTTTTATGTTTTGCCGCCCTATAAGGGCATAGTTGTTTTTGTACTGTTCTATTATTTTATTATAAATAATAAGTGAAGGGGGTGGCCAGATTATTGCTCTCTTTTTTTTTCAACTTCTCTTCTTCTCTTCTCCTTCTCTCTTCCAAGTCTCTTCAAGAAACTACTTTCTTTCATATATATTTCTTTTAATTCAGCAGATTCCTACTTGGTATCAGAGCATCGGCTAGGGTTTCTTGAAGCATTCTCATGCAGCCCTAGATCAGCCGACTGCATGAAGTAGTAAAGGGCTGATCGATCTGCTATAGATTGCCCAGTTCTTTGAGTTTTTGGTGGGGTCTAGACATCAAGAAGGTGATCTAATGTTCGACATCAAAATCAGAAAGAATGGAGTACGGGGAAGAGTCCCAGAAAAGTTGGACTCTTTGTTTTCTATCTGATCTTGGGCGCCCAGGTATTGTTAGTTTTCTTTTGATTTTCTAAAGAGGGCGGTTTGGTTTCTGAAATTTTTTAGGCCTCCCGGAGTGATCGATTCACTTTTCTCTCTGTTGGGAGGCGTGGGGAGGAGAGAGATTTCCCTCHAGCTAGGGTTTTCTTCTTCCGGAAGGGTTGGTCTTTGTGTGTGTGGTATTAAATTATTTTTTGGTCTCCAATCTATTTTTTTCTTACTGTTGAACTGTTTGAAGTAAAATGGAGAGTTGGAATACCGAGATGAAATCTATCGGTACTGTGGGACAGGGTGTTGGAGGTAGTAGTGATATTTTTGGGTCTGGGATCATTACTACAGTAAAACTTGATGGTACAAATTATTTGGAGTGGGCACAATCAGCTAAGATGGCTATTGGTGCCCGTGGAAAATTAGGGTATCTMACTGGGGAGGAGAAGAAACCTGATACAGACTCTTCCCAATGGGTGCAAGAGAATTACATGGTAATGTCCTGGCTGTGTAATTCTATGTTACCTCACATTGCAAAAAATTTCCTATGGGCTAATACTATTAAGGAGATTTGGGATGGAGTGAATGAAACCTACTCTCAGAAGCAAAATGAAACCAGAGTCTATCAGTTAAGAAATCAGGTGATAAGTATGAAACAGGGAGAAAAATCTCTTGCTGTGTATTTCTCCATGTTGAAAACCCTATGGCAAGAAATAGATCACTTAGAAACTGTGGTATGGGAAAGTGTAAATGATGCAGCAACTTATCACAAATTGGTAGAGAGGAATAGGGTTTGAGTTCATGGCAGGGCTGAACCCTGAATTTGACATTGCTAGGCAGCATATTCTTTCTAGGGAGGGTGTGACACTCTCTCAGGCCTACACTTTTGTCTCTGGAGAGGAGAGTAGGAGGAATGTAATGCTAAGACAGCCTGGGATTGACCAGCCGGCTATGGTTGGTACAACAAAACCTAAGCCGAATGGAGACAGGGGGAGTAGTGAGACTAGAAGGGAAGATAAGAATGACTTGGTGTGTGATTATTGCAAGAAGCCTAAGCATTCTAGGGACACTTGTTGGAAGTTTCATCCAAATCTTATGCCTGCTCGGATAAGAAACAAGAAGGGAAATGCAAATGTAGCCACTATAAGAGACTCTTTAACCCCTCTCTCCCAAACTGATTGGGAATCCATTGCAGTAGCAGTAGTGAGAACAGAACTGGAGAGGTTTGGACAGCTTATGAGTAAGAAAGATTCACCCAGCTCTAGCCTTCTAGATGGACAACATAATGCAAGAGCCAACTACACCACTTCCTTTGCACATACAGGTAGTTCATATGCAACTGCAAATCTTGATAGACTCAAGAGCATCTGAGCATATGATTAATGCCCCTACCATTTTCAGTTCCTATCAATTGTGCTCTGGTAGAGACAGAGTCTCTACAGCAGATGGTTCACATATCCCCATTGCTGTGAAGGGGACAGTTAGAGTGACCAATGATATAACTCTATCTTCTGTTTTACATGTCCCTAGACTTCATACCAACCTACTGTTTGTTAGTTCTTTGACAAAAAAATTGAATTGTTCTGTGACCTTTCTTCCTGGTAATTGTGTTTTGCAGGATTTGGAGTCAAAGAAGATGATCAGGAGTGGTCGTGAGGTGAATGGAATCTACCTTCTGGATGGGATTCTGAGACATCAGAGCCATCATGTTAGCAACAGCAATAGTAGTGGGTCAGAGTCAGTGAACCAGATTATGCTTTGGCACAATCGCTTGGGACATCTTTCTTTTAGTTCTTTGAAATGTCTTTTCTCAAAGTTATTTGAGTCTGTTCAATTATCTACTTTGGAGTGTGAGAGTTGTCAGTTAGGAAAGCATTGTAGACAGTCTTTTAAACTAAGTAATAAAATAAGTACTTCTGCTTTTAATATTGTTCACACTGATGTATGGGGGCCATATCAATCCCTTCTATGGGAGGATTCCGTTACTTTCTCTTGTTTGTGGATGATTATACACGATATTCTTGGATATATTTGATGAGATCACGTGATGAGGTTCCTAACTTAGTATGACAATTCCACCAAATGGTTCCCACACAATTTGGAGTGAGAACTAAGGCTTTTAGATCAGATAATGCCAGAGAGTACTTTGAGAATGACCTAGCCATGTATCTCTTTGAACATGGTGTAGTTCATCAAAGCAGTTGTGCATATACACCGCAACAGAATGGACTTGCTGAGAGGAAAAACAGACACATTGTGGAGGTGGCAAGGAGTATTATGGTGTGTGCTTCAGTTCCTGTGCAGTTCTGGGGAGATGCAATTCTTACAGTCGTACATGTGATTAAACGTGTTCCTTCACGGACTTTGGGGTTTAAGGTGCCATTTAGCATTCTTTTCCAGATGGAGAGATATTTCATATACCTCTGAGGGTTTTTTGTTGTGTTTCTTTTGTTTACATTCTTGACCCTCATTGCAAGAAATTGGATTCTAAGGCCAAGAAATGTGTTTTTCTTGGGTATGCTCAGAACCAAAAGGAGTATTGCTGTTATGACGGTATTGCTGTTATGACGCAATGTCGATGAGCAGATTTGTCACTATGGATGTTACCTTTTCTGAATCCACATTCTTCTTCTTGAGTGGTTCTCCTCAGGGAGAGAGTTTTGGGGAGAAGAACTCACAATCTGTTCCTCTTCCTGTTTCTGTGGTGCCTCCATCAGTTTAGCCAGCATCTACATCAGTTCAGCCACCACCTGCACCATCAGTTCAGCCAGCATCAATTCAGCTAGCACCTACACCTCCAGTTTCATTACCTGAGCCACTACGGGCAGCCTCACAGCAATATCAGCGCCGACAGATGATGGTTAACTCCACACATCCTCAACCCACACTACTCTTTGTCAGTCCTTCTGAAACTTCAGATTCGGCAGATACAATTCTAGGTATTCCTCTTGAGCCTGAGCCTGTTATGTTTTCTGATGATAATGTTTCTGTCCCTAACACCATTGTTGCAGTTGATCCCACTAACCTTGATCTTCCCATTGCACTTCGTAAGGGGAAGAGAGTGTACAGCCCACTGCATTTCACACCATCTTTCCTACAATGCCTTATCACCCTCTTACTGTGCTTTTCTTTCTTCCCTGGATTCTGTGTCTATACCTAGGTATGTTATTGAGGCTCTCTCCAAACCTAACAACCATGCAAGATGAGATTGATGCTTTGGTCAAAAACCAAACTTGGGAAATAGTTGATCTCCCCCCAAACAAGGAGACAGTCGGATGTCGATGGGTATTCATAGTGAAGTATAAGGCCGATGGCAAGATAGAGAAGTACAAGGCAAGGTTGGTAGCAAAAGGGTATACTCAGACCTATGGTGTTGATTATCTGGAAACCTTTGCATAGCTAAGATGAGTTCAGTTCGTATCCTTTTATCTCTAGCAGCCACCTATTCATGGCCCTTGTTCCAGTTTAATATAAAAAATGCTTTCCTCAATGGTGACTTACAGGAGGAGGTATATATGGACATTCCAGCAGGCTTTTATGAAAATGTTGGTAAAGGAAAGGTATGCAGACTCAAAAAATCTCTGTATGGACTGAAACAGTCACCTAGGGCTTGGTTTGACAGGTTCAGAGGGGC